TCGTAATTTTCTTTTACTAAGCTTAGATAACTACTTTAGTATTTCTTTTTACTTATAAGTCGTGAAGTTTGTAGGGAATATCGACTTTAGTATATTTACTAAGCTTTGGTACAAAATATTGCTTACCGTATTACTTTGTTATTTATTCATTACGCTATGAGAACAAAGTCAAGCTCTACCTGAGCATTTTATCAATTAAGCATTAGGAACTACGATACGATCCTATTTGGGTAAAAAATAAAGGATGTACTACGTGACGATACCACGTATCAATCTTTCAATCAATAATTTACTCAAATCAACAATTCATATCGCCATTTTGTTATAAACACTCAAAAGACACCCTGGAATACTCAAAAACAATTGAAAACCCGAACGAATTCATCAAACCTCCTTGTTCTATTTATTTACCAAATCTGTACAAAACAGTTACTGTATCCAGTGTCAATTTAATGGGCATCTAAAATGTATACTTCCATTTATGAAGCGCCGTGCCAAGATATTATTGCCGCCATAATATTGCTCGTATACGAAAACTTTACGACCCAAGCTGTATCAAAACATCAACAAATATGATTACTTAGCTATAAGTAACAATATTTTGGGAAGTATCAATATTTGGAGGCGTGATTTTCGACGAGCACGTACGAGTAAAGTCGTTCAATTCGTCGGTTTGAAAGATCACGTGGGAGAACTACACTTTGGGACAAGTGAGTCGACTCGATCAGAGTGACAAGCACGAATAACCATCGCATTCGTATCGTAACAATATCGAGCGAGTTAAGCGTTCTGATTGGTTGGTTCAATTGAGCACGCCAATCAGAGCGCCAAACATGCTTGACACTATTACGTTACGAATGCGATAGTTATTCGTGCTTGGCACTCAGAGGCCTTAGTACGAGTTTGTTTTACGTTTAAAGTAATCGAAACGAGTACGCGTTCAGCGCTCTGATTGGCCGGCTCCAATGAACTAACCAATCAGAGCGCCGAACGAGGTTTCGTTTCGATTACTTTAAACGTAAGACAAATTTTTACTAAGACCTCAGAATGATGTCATGATGTTACAGAAGATCAGATGTCTACGATATATTTCACCGTGCAAGTAAGGTTTTCAGAAGCTCGGCTTCTGAGTAATGATGTTTCTAATTATGTTCGTATTTGTTTCCCTTTATAATTGTATAGCTCCGTCCCTCTCTACATAGCGCGTCTAAGATTAAAATGCATAATACTATGGGTACAATGTTAAATTACTCGACTCTCACTACATAGTACATAATTTTTATACACGCCAAACTTATACATAGACACTTCTCATTACAATAAACAGACAATATCCTACAAAGTGCCACAATCGAAGCTGTCACATTATCCTACACATTATGGCGTTAGCGAGGAGAATATCTCTTGGCAAGACATCTCCGCCATGGATTACAGCCATTAACTAACATCATACATTCAAACGACGCGATCAAATCATAATAACATCTGATGTCATTCGTAAAATTACTATTATGGCCGACATATTATTGTTTCCATTAGGGCTAAAGTCCTTTGCATGTGTTTAAATTATGTTTATTAGAACATTTAAGAACACTGTTTTAGCATATAAAGCCTCTGAGGCATAGCCACGTAGATATTTATCAAACATTATCTACCAAAGTTCAAAATACTTCTGTTTTTGAAAAAAATCTATTACCACAGATTAATAAACCTATTTAAGTTCAACAGCACATTGCTGTAATTGAAATAACTAACAAGATTTTCCAATTAAATTGTATAAAATGTTCTATCTAATTATTATAGCACTTCTAAACTCTTAATTCTCTTAAACGATAATAAAGAATAATTCTCCCCTTTTAACATTATTCACATCTTATAGATGCATAAAAGTGAGTTATTGTTAGCGAGTAATATAAGTTGAGAACTAAGTAGTTGAACAGTGTGCACTTTGTCACTGCTTGCAACTTACGGACTATTATAACATACTCCATTATAACTTGGAGCTGAGCACACTCGTTACTCATGAGAATACCCTACAAGAACGAATATGCAATTTGGATAGCAGCGTGTTTAGATTAAGAAGAACTGTTTTGTTATTAACGTATTTTTATTATTTTGCTATGTAAAACAACAATACAATCATATTTTTTAATTATAAAACTAGCTTGGCTCTCGACTTCGTACGCGTGGAATAGTGATTTACAGCTCGTCTCCCGTTGGTGATAGCGTGACATATGTAGCCTATATGTTGAACCAACCTGTTAGTAATATTCATGCAAAATTTTAAGTAAATCCATACAATACTATTTGAGTTTAATACGGACATACATAGAGACAAACAGACAAAAAATCTAAAAACCATGTTTTTGTAGATCACGCCACAAACATTCTTTTAAAAGAATATTCAATATACACTTACAGTTTTCACTTTCCTACGATTTTATTATATGTATAGATATATAGAAGAAGATCTAATTCCTTAAGAAGGGATTCGTCTTTCGTCGTCGTGTTGATTTGTTATACTAACTGAGAATAATCTTTATTTAGACCGAAATTCATCCATTTTCATTCAACAAATTAGCATACTTAAAAGGCAACAAACACACAACTCAATTTCACCTTCGTATCAAATATGTCTATTTTCCATTAAATTAGCAGCCATCAACATGCAACCATCGCCTGGTATGTCAGACACGTGTCATAACAGCGCATAATGTTGAATCTAAAGTTACAGCTGTATTATCTAGCTCCCGGCTGCCACTTCACACTGACGGTCTATGTACGATATGATTTGCAAAGATCATAGATAAATATAGTGATAAATGGTGATACATTTCTAGTACGACTAGCGATAGATATTCTAATAATACACTCGGAATAAATCTGTTATGTATTTGATTAAAATTGATATGTTGAATTGTATATTGATTACAGTAAATCTGTTAACACGTTAACCGCCGCGTAGGTCACCGGTGACCTACGTTAGCGGAGGATTTGCCTTCAACAGTTTTCTGTCGGCAATCAAAGGCTTAATAATAATAAAGTATTTTTTTATGGCATATGGCAGTAAACGAGCAGACGGATCACCTGATGGTAAGCAATCGACATCGCCCATGGACAACTGGAACACCAGAGGCGTTACAAGTGCGTTACCGGCCTTTTGGGGATTAGGATTGAGGATCGTTGGGGAGATTAGGGAAGGGGAGGGTAATTGGGCCTCCGGTAACCTCACTCACACGACAAAACACAACGCAAGCGTTGTTTCACGTCGGTTTTCTGTGAGGCCGTGGTATGGCCCGTTCGTGCCGAAGCATGGCTCTCCCACACTTTATTTATTCTGTATTTAATAATTCGACGTTTCATCTAATAGCTACAAATTATCAGTATATTGCAAGAAATAGGCACATAAAAATATTATAAGTGTGGTGTCATTATAGCTGTACTACTTAAAACCACAGCACAAACTTTCCTTAGACAAAAGAACTCAACATTGTTAAGTTCGTGAGTTTCACAAAACAGTCTCATTTGCGGGAGTTTGGACTCTAAGTAATTCTAATCCCGAAGTACTAATTACACGCCTTTGAGCCACAAAATGAGGCTTGAATGTGCCTAAATGTCATTAGCAAGTTAAGCAGAACACAAATTAGAGCTAGAGGGCACTGTAGTAGTAATTTAGCAAGGCTATAGGCGTGTGAGTTGGAAGTTGGTGACGAGATAATTGTGATGTCACTCGTAGGTACTCGGATTGTAATTGGGTCTTTAACCTTCGTACACAGACCCTGTATGGACCCTAACTCAGTAAAATTATAAAAATGTATTCAAATTAATGGACAAGTTACAATATTATCATGGCAACTATTCTCGCTGCAAAAAATAAAACAATGTGCAATGTGGTACGGTTCACCAATTGCATTATTTACTATTGTTGATAGTATTATGTTACGACCATATCGACAGGAATTAATAAATTTAACTTTGAAATTACAAATAAGACTTTTGGCTCAAAATCTAGATAATATCTCTCCGAAAACGACAGTTTAATAAGGAACCTAATGCTTATTAGCGTTAAATTGTTATTAAAATAGTATGAAAATCTCGAAAATTACTCGAATTAGATACGTCTTGACGGACGAGATAATATTCACATGAACTTCTAAGTAAATACATATTACTTTCTAACTAATTAAGAGAGTTCAGGAGAAGTATTCGCATATCCTATTTATAACTCAAAGTAATCGTCCATGTTTAGTTTGTACAAGAACGTCTTATTATCGTCAGCTCCATCCAGTCCTAACAAATTATGCGGGTGTATATCTTTACATCACTTGTTTGAGAAACTCAACAAAGCACCAGCAATTATAATTACTCGAAATATTTATTCAAAAGACGTTCATATGTTCTATAAAGTTCGTGACACACTGTACTGGCACGGCCACAACACGGCTGCGGCACGGCGCTTTTAAAATCGGGGAGGGCTGTAAGCATGCGGGCCGCGCTCTGACAACCCACCGTTGGCGTATAATAATAGTATTGACGTTATGAAATCATACGATTTAATATTGAATTTCAAAATCATCAGCCTATAAGTGGCCACTGCTGACCAAAGGCCTCTTACACGGAGAAGGTTTGAGCATTAATCACCACGCTTGCTCAATGCAAGTTGGCGATTGCAAACTTATAATTAGAAATTATAACATAAGCCCGTTTACCTCACGATGTTTTCCTTCACCGTATGTCAGTGGTGTCTAAACAATCTTAGAAAGTACATATAACTCGGAAAAAGTCACATTAGTACTTGCCGTGCGTTGAGAGGTTCCGAACTCACGCCTTCGTGCACGAGAAGCGGGCGTCTTTAACCTGCGAGAAACCACGACATATATGAAATTTAAATGACAACTTAATAGCCGGGTTGGAGCCGTGCCGTTACGGTGCTCGCCTAATGTGTCATGATCTTTAAACCGCGTTTTAAGCTTGTGTTAATATTATTCTCTCATTTGCAGGGACCTGCGATGTCTAAGGAACACGATACATACCAACCTCATGTCGACGTATATTCTGTCTGCCTGCAGCTGGATCTTAAACTTAGCTTTACAAGTAAGTACTGTTATCTATATTTTATTATCTTGTAGATAGTGATTGTTGACAATGGCTTAATACAGCAGCTAGTATTAGGATGGACTTTGATTTATACGACGTCAGATGTGCTAGGAAAATGGATTTACGGCGTAGAATTCTGACAGGTTTGTTTAATTTTAATATTTTTACGTGATTATTGTGGACTACATTCTACATTAATCATCAATCATCATACATTCAGTTTATATTATAAGCTTACACCTCAAACGCAAGCCATCCATCTCAAGCCTTTTACATAAATTAGTTACTCGATGTATTTGTCAAAAATACTAAAAAGGCGAGGTGTCAAACACCACTTTTTAGTTAGTAAGCTATTTAAAGTTCAATGGACTAGAAAATATGAATAAAATGCAAAATAGATCATAGACAATATAACATTTATTTTCATAATAAAACCTAAGATCAAATTTATATTGATAATTCATTTACGTTACAATTTAACAATCTAATCTAAGATAACAAAATAGAACGATTTATGATCTTAATAATATCTGTATCAAAGAAATTGGGTTACAGAGGGCAAATTACGTTACATCAAATAAATAACATTTGTAAGAGTTATCATAACACGCTGTTAAACCTCAATCGTTACAATATTAAAATAAACCAAGTGTCTCAGTTAAGATTAATAATTGTAGTCATAAAAAACATTTTTCTTATATTGGAACAGATTCTTTATAGTACTGATACCTAATATATCGTCAATGAAATATTGGCGGCCAGTAACATAGATATTGGATTGATCCACGCAAATTATCTCTGTGATTTAAAACAATAACTTTGATTAGTCTTTACCATGACGGGAAATCTAGAAAACAGTAAACTGGTATAATTTTAATTGGAAGTGTTATGGCAAAGGTGACAAATAAATAGTAGAAATAATGTTTCTTCATTGTTATTTTAAGTAACACCAGATTATAAAATACTAAATTATTAACATCAACAGACCGAAATATGAAAAGATATTACAAGTTTTCCACACCTGCACTCCACAAGTTTTAGAGAAAAGTCGTGAACAAACACTGAATACTTTACTAATATAATTCTCTATTTCACTCAGGGTTTCATGCACAAACTAAAATTAATTTTGAATGAATGTTTGATATTAAGTCAACTTTCCAACTAGAATTATTTACACTCCCCTGCGAGCTGTTTGTCCTTCGCTGTTTGTATTGTTATTGTTTTATTTTGCTACGATATTTTAATTCAATCTCATTCTAAATATAGAGGTAAACGGGATTATTTTAGAAATGAAATGGTTTTTTGAACTCGTGAATGAAATGAAACACACATCTATCTTTTCTTTCTTTGGGATTAATAACGCTTTGGTTTTTGTAATCTAGTACCTACTATTTTGTTTATGAATAAATGACACTTTTTTCTATCAAATTTATAAGTACATGATACGGTGTTTCGTTTTATTGCACCCTTTATGGCATTTATATGGTACATTTCCATTTATGTATAGTGCACTCTATTTTTACTTACATCTTGTTTTGGTGTGAACAAATCGTTCAACATCAAACGTACAGAACGAAATGTATAAGTTTATTCACTTCAATAGGTCAAAGAAACTCTTATTTTGTATCGCTTATTATTTCCTCGCATTTCATCTCGTTCCAAGTTAGCATCCAAACACAAACATTACTCCCCGAACCAACCTTCAGCACATTGTCGAAACAAATATTATTTTGTATACTTTACAAGTTTTGCAATACAAAGTTAATTATTCTACCGCCAACTGCTTAAATATGCAAATTCACTCATTTGAGAATAGTGATAAAACGTTCTTCTTGGCACGAATACAGAGGTAGTTTGTGTACATAAACAATTCAAAAGAACTACATATACACAAGAGTTCGCTCAAACGAGGAAGTTGGTTACCGACATGGCTTCATACATTGTGTAGAATATTCTAGTAGGTTCCCGAAGGAAGTATTTCAAAATGAATTGCTATCCCTTTGGCGACTAATGAACCAGTCATGAATAAAAATACATGCTCCAGATAAAAGAGAATCAAAACTCAAAGCTTTGATTATAGAGTTACAAATTTAACCGTCGTTAATTTAAAATTTAGCTGCAAAGGATTTCATTCACGTCTCAAAGTCTTTGAACTTACTTTTATTATCTGTGCTTCAATCGCCATCTTGAAAATGCACGCCGGTTATTTCGTTCACTTTATCTTAAATCTAGATCTAAAAACGTAGCTGAAAGGAAAATATTCGGTGGAAATATTTCATAAAATAACAAAGCGAACACGCTAGATTTTATTAGTGATGAATAATATCAGATCAAAACATTTTGACTTTAAACTTTGCGAGTTGAAGTTGTATTAAAGTAGTGCATTTTTGTTTGTTTTGTAAATAAACGTGTCATAATATTTTGTTCAGTTTAAACAAACATTACTCTATGATTGCATATCAATGCACACAGACATAAACATAAAACATTGTTTATATCAAAACATGAATATATTCAAGGAAGATTCGCAAGGTTATCTGGTAAATGTACTGTTTTCTAAACTTTCAATCTAACAAATCATTTTATGGACAATTTTATAATCCAGGAATCATATTTCTATAATAGAAGTCTGTAAATATTTCTTACGTTTGACGTCATAAGTAGATCTAAACAGAAAATCCAAAACTATATTGTTACAAAGTAAAACACAGCTTACTCAGAACTAAATAATTGTCACAATAAAACCACCAAATGACGAGCTACGATTAATAAAACTGTGTTTAATTTACGAAAGCAAAAAATGCGTAAAGACACAAAAGCTGCTCATTTAATAAGGAATCATGCGTGGACAAGGGTCGCGACAATACCATTAATTAATCTTGAGCACCCTTCATCATGACAACTAGCTTTTCATCCCTCACAACGTAATTGAATCCGTAACAGCCGACTCGGTATTGAAAAAATGTGTCATTCCTCGTTTCCTACGAGGTTTTGTCCGCTAGCTGGATATTTCGTGTAGGATATTTGTCCTGTGAGTAATGTTTGAAGGAAATTGCTGTGTGGAAATTGTCGCATTTATGGTTAGCAATAGTCACACAAGATTTTATGTTTTACATCATAATTGTTGCCACAAATTGCATTATACACAGTGCATTTTAATTTTTCATTCATACAAAAAGATGTATCTAATGTCAATCATCGCAATCTAACGGCAAACAATTTAAGCTTTATGTAAATGTACGCACGTACTCGTACATAATATATTTATTTACGTTATCTGTGGAACATTTTCATGAATTATGGAAAGGAATAAAAAATATAATAGTCTTCATCGAACATGAGAATCTATGCCTAACTAAATATTAGACCTAAGACAGCCTTGTACATGAAATCCGTCGGGAATTTACCAGATTTAAAAATTTGCATTCGTATTTTGTACCTTAGTAAAACGAGTTACAGTGTTTATCTCAGTAAGTCGAGCCGCTGCGCTCGTAGGAAATTGCCCACTACTTTTTGTTAAAGTGAAGCTACAGTTAACTACGAGTAATTAATAGGACACTTAAAGCGATTAATGGCCAGTTTAAATCTCACATAAATGTGCTTGAACACATCCAGATTACGTCTATAAAGTTCACGTTTTAATCTACTTATTTTTTGTGTTTCCGAATGTGGGTTTTAGTTATTTGGCTTTCAAAATCCAATTATTTTGAACGAAAATTAAGGTTACATTTACTGACTATTTTTTGGAGAAGCTTACTGTAATATCATTTAAAAGAGAACTATGCTAAACGATAATAAAAAAAGGAGTTAATATATTGCTAAAAGTTAGACATAAATACATTATGTCTCGCGATAATTATATCAACAAAATACTCCTCTATCTTTATTTTACTAATTTACGATTGTTTCAAATACCAATACATTTTTAGTAAGTTTAATTATTTTTAATAAACATTATGTATGACCAAAATATGTTTTCGCATAATGTCTACTAATATAATATTCAATCTAAATTGTCTACGACCCTCATTAAACAAAATATGTCCAGTCTGTCGTCTCATAGGTCGTAAAACGTTGGTCATCTCATATATTTCATGTATAGACATTTTACGAGATACATATTATGAAATAATATTTACATTGAAGACGGCAGATTAAAAATTTTATCGATTTTATGACGGCAAGAATACCTAGCAGTGTATTGTAAGACATTAACTGTGTATCTTAGATTATTTTAGTTGGTTTGAAATACCTCTAAGCTGTGTATAGTACGGTGGCATTTTGTTCGGAACTTTTTTTCACATAACATAAAATAACGCCACGCCTTTTATCCCGGAAGGGGTACGCAGAGGTGCACATTATATCACTGTACAGTGTAACACCCACTTTTCACTATTTATGTTATGACTTATGAGTCTCATGTAATAGGGGGTAAACCTATTGCCATATACCAGGCACAATTCCAGACTCCTTGCTACTACTGAGAAAATTTAAAAACTTAGTAATACTTTGCCCTACTCGGGAATCGAACCCGAGACCTCTTGCCCGGCAGTCGCACTTACAAACACTCGGCCAACGAGGCAGTTATTGAGCAGATCTATGCTATGGTCCATTGCCAAAACTCCATAATTTAAATATCTATAATATTGTAATAAACTTTGTTTAACGAGTAAGACTCTAATCAGTTTTATTTTGTTCACAGAATTGGTCCGATGAGGCCCAACAAGATCAAACCTCGTGTACGATTCTGGTCATATGTATGCACTACTTTTACCTCACTAATTTCTTCTGGATGCTTGTAGAAGGTAAGCTATTTTATAAGGAAACTAGATTAGAACTTATATTTGTTTTATTCGTAACTTCCGATTCTTTTTATGGACATATTGGACACCCAGACAAATTTATTGTCTCTGTCTGAATTCTAATTTTTAGAACCTCTATACAGATAAATGAAATTGTAGTGTCTATTTGTAATGGAGCTGCGGAAGATTTAACCGCTTGCCGGGGCTGCGGCTCAAAATGTAGGAGTAGGAACGGGGTGGTTTTTAGTCAGTAAGAGTCTGACACTCCCTCTCGCCTCACCCGGGCGGGAGAAGTCATTGGATGATTTCCCCCTCAAAAAAAAGGTGTCTATTTGTTATATTAAAATAAACGCTTTTTACTACATACATATGAATAAGAATAGGATCCACATACCAAAATGTCATTTTTTACAATGTTTGTCTGCCTCTGTCTCTCTGTTTGTACTGGCTAATCTCTGGAATGGCTGGACCGATTTTGCAAGACTTTTATGGGCAGGTAGCTGATGTACTAAGAAGTAACATAGGCTAATATTTACTTTTATTTAGGAAAATTGAAACAAAAATAAAAGTTATATTCTAAATTTAATGTTCTGGGCAACAGCTAGTGTCTCATAAACTTCTAATGGCCGTAACATGATACTATATATCCTATGTCAACTAGCCATAATGCAGCTTCTTAATTGTGACAGACAAAAAAAACCGAACCAATGGTTCTAGAAACTTCTCTCTGCATACAAACTTTTACATATTTATGAGACTGCTATGAAATATAAATAGACGTATAAATCTTATAGACGTCTTCCTGTCGCTTTGTTCCCTAGGCAATTGACGACGAGCAATCTCCGGATCTAAATTCACAACTGAGTCTATGGGGAATATACATATCTTATATCTTGGTCGGATTTCTCAGTTGATCGGTAGAGTTGGAAGCAAAGTTCAATCAGTATCGAATACTAACTTCTATTCGAATATAAGTGTCAATTCTAGATTATTTGAAAAGAGAATGATCGTCTGTCTGCACTTTTCAATTGATATTTTGTCTGTATGAATGAAAAATATCCGAAACTACTGAATAAATTATTATGCAATAGGTATTTTAAAAAAAAAAAGAAACGTTGCCCCACACTATGATTTTCTCCTGTGTCGTGGGTACGTTTACAAACATACAAGTTCACATACACAATGACACCCAGACCCGAAACAACAATTTGTGGATCACACAAAGTGTTGTCCCGTGCGGGAATCGAACCCGCGAAACGTTGCATGGCAACCGGTTGCCCAGCCGTTTACCGTTTCCATTACAACTCTTTTAAAGACTACAACTCTAGTAAATTTGTAAATACTATTTTGACATAAAAAACTTAATTGATTTACAAAAAACAATCTTAAAAAATACGACAAAAAGATTCAAAATCGCCCTACAACTTACTCAACATATGGTGGGCTATACATAAAATTACAATACATTATGTAAGATGATTTATAAATAGGTTTGTTATCAGACACGTATGTACCGAACTCGTTTGTTTATCATTACTGAATCATTTCAGGTTTGTACCTGTACATGCTCGTGGTGGAGACGTTCACCGCAGAAAATATTAAACTGAAGGTGTACACTACCATAGGATGGGGTAAGTTGTCTATTATACTTTATTATGTCTTGTTGGCCGAGTGTTTGCAAGTGCGACTGCCGGGCAAGGGGTCTCGGGTTCGATTCCCGTGTCGAGCAAAGTATTACTGAGGTTTTATATTCTCATTCTCGGAGTCTGGAATTGTGCCCGATATATGGCAATAGGCTCACCCCTTATTTACATGGGACTCATAACATAAATAGTGAAAAGTGTCCACCTCTGCCTATCCCTTGGGATAAAAGGCGTGATGTTATGTTATATTTTAAAATGCTCTGCTAAATATTTTAATGTATGTGTAAGTTTTTAATCCAACTAATATTATGCGATTTAGTATGTTGGTTTGTTTGTTATTCCTTCACGTCACAACGGCTGAAGAGATCAAGATGAAATTTGGACCAGGGGTAGATTATGATCTGGAATAACATATAAGCTACTTTTTATCTCCCGGGAACGAGTGTAAAGCCGGTCGCAGAAGCTAGTATTATTCTAAGTAGGAAACTTCGGCGTCCTAAATATGTATATCACCACCTATTACAGATGCCATTTCAGTTTAATTTAGCAGATAGTTAGTGATTGGAAGCTTATATATAGAAATTCATTACTAAACAAACACAAAATCAAATAAGCAGCAGTTGTATTAAGTACCAATATTGTAATTTCTTAGGGCCATATTTCATATTTAATATTCATTTAATCATTTGAAAACATGGGTACATAATATAGGTGTTAACAAAGTTCAATTTCGCAATGCTCAGTTAAATTTTATCAGACGAATAACTTTGAACATTTGACAATTCTTCCATACTAAAACCTGTTAAAATTTTATTCTACAGTTAAGAATTACTTATGATTCAAAAATCGGCCCTGAGAATAATATGTAGTAACGAAATTACAATTCTCTAATTTGAACTCTATTTCAAGACTGTAACGATTGTTTCTCCACCAAACAATCCATTGCCTCTCTCGTTGAACACTTTGCACTCCGATTCACTTTGCAACTGCAATGGAACTAAGTTTGTTTCCACACACTTGAATGATTGATCTAAATTACAAGTTTAAAGTAATTGCTCTTCGTTTCGCTTGTTAAAACTTAACTGCGAGTTCATCAGAACTAATTCCAATCGATTCCTTTGATATTAATTTCGTAGTATTGAGAGGCACTTAACTTAAAATTGTTTGAAACAATTGGAATATTTCTTAATAGTGTAGTATACCTAATTATTTCATTGTAGGAAAGATTATGTTTTGAATACTGAAAAATCTGCCTCGTTGGCCGAGTGGTCGCAATTAAGACTGCCGGGTAACGGGTCTCGGGTTCGATTCCAGTGTCGGACAAAGTATTACTGGGTTTTTTCATAAAATGAAAGTAGTAGCACGGAGTCCGGTATATGGTAATAGGCTCACCTCCTGCTACATGGGACTCATAACATAAATAGTGAAAAGTGGGTGTAACATTGTACAGTGGCAGCACAAGTGCCGTAACGAAAACCTCTGCCTACCCCTTCAGGGGTAAAAGGCGTGATGTTATGTTGTTGTTACTGAAAAATCCGTCTGGGACAACATACCCATGGCATAACGTTGTGCATAGTAGATAATAAGACGTTGTTGAAATCGTAAAATACTGTTCTTATTTGACAAATTGCTAATTTCTTATTAATACCACGAAGTCTGGATTGTGTCCGATCTGCCACAATTCATAATTATGAACCATTAGGGTAGATGGCAAATTTTTATTTTAATGTCCGTCTGGTAGATTACTTTAAAACATTAGATACGTGTTTTTTATTTTCTTAAAGAAATGACGATTTCTTTCGACGATATATTGATTTGAAATATAGCGTGACGTAACTTTTGAGTACGTTTATACTAAAACATGACGTAGCTAGCCCCAACTCCTACACCTTGATTCATCTAAGTATTTTTTTCTTATACGACAAAATAATAAAATACGTGTCTAATATGTTTTCATTACCTAACTGACGGACTAATTTGATTTTTAATTCGTGCGACTAGGCGTTTCCCTTTGAGTACCGTCATTATAGACACAATTAAAGAACAATAGGTGTGCGGACACCGGTGTCCTCGCGGTGTTTGACAGTTTAGGGTAAACTGTCAGCATCTATTGGTTTACCAACTATTAATTCATTTACTTCTCATGAAGTAACAGATGAAAAATAGGTGTTACATTGTATTTTTTACCTTTATCTACCTAACATGTTTACGTATGTAGTAAGGAAAATGCTGGCGTATAAATAAACATGAAAGAATATAAGTAAATAGTAACATTTGTTGTCCACAGGTGCGCCGGCAGTGTTCCTAACAATATGGGTTATATGCAGGTGCTTCGTCAACATCGTGCCTTCCAACCCTGCTGATGGGGTGAGTAACTCCAACTACCTATTTTTTACCATATATAATGTACTAAGAAATAGTATCGTTGCACAACCTTATTCCCCCTAGTCCGTTTCACCATCGTACTACTTACCAGACGAACGGCAGGGCGCCACCTTTATATGGTGGACATTTCACCCATTCGCACGAAGATTTGCGAACCGCTAAGGAATGGAATTTCTAGCCGAAATCTATGTTTCCCGACAAATATAACTTGGGTGTCTTCATGTCCCAAGTAAACAGGTTGCTCATAGGTAGACGTGGTCCATCGTCGGCCACATCATCGCTTACCACCAGACAAGATGGTGGCCAAACATACTATCAAGTATAAAAGAGAATATTAATAACTATCGAGTTTCTCCTTGCATTTAAGAAAATTTTCAAGGAAAGTTTTCGTTCTATCATACGAATATTTTGATTCACGTTACAAATATAGAATAGAACAATTCTTAACTTACCTACTCTTTTCTAATTGCTCAATGTAAACTAGTCACAATACCAATGTGTACAATACCAATAATATCTAAGACTAAAATAATAATAAAAAGTAAAATTAAATATTTAGAACTTAAAAATAAATCAATATTATATGGAAGAAAACATAGAAAATAAAAAGAAAAGGAAAGAAAACAATTTATTTAATAATTTACAACTTTTTTCTGTTTATTTGTTTGTTCTAATAAGTTATTTAACCTTTACCTATTTCTTTGTCATCAACTCGTGACATCACTGGACTACGGGCCTTATACATGTATCTTCTATGTATAGAAATTAGAGGGTGTAAAAATAAGTAAAGAGTCTATAGCCCACTAGAGCCTGTTTATAAGTTTTGATGACTGTTTGTAAATTATTTACTTAGAAAACTTTCCCTTTAACAGCATTATTAATACAAGATAATCTCAATTTATTCGGTACAACGATACCATCGACAGATATTGCAAAGCTTCCAATCCAGCACGAATTCAAGGTCAATTACCCCATCATGGCCGCGAAATTTGAAAAGGGCAGCCAATTTCATTTTATGGCTAAACCAACTCTATTTGCAGCGCAATAAAGGTCGTTATAGCGTCTTGCATATTTAAGAATCTCCGTACGGCAGTAAAGTTGCACATTAGCATAACGTGTTTACTATCACTTTATGTACATTTTACTGCCGGGTTTAAGCGAAAGACTTTAAAACTTGGTAGTGTGCAGATTTATAATATTCTTATTATTTAAAATAGTTTTATATCTAACTGCCCTATAAATTGTTTATAGTTATCAAAGTATTGGAACTGGTTGAGCAGAAAAATCTTCTAAATAAGCAGTACTTATTGTAAAACATGTCTTAAGTCCATGGTATATGATTTATTTTTATTTGCAGCTTGCCCTGGCAGGTGAGGCTAAGATGTGTATTTGGATGTCGGAGCACCAGGTGGATTGGATTCATAAAGCTCCAGCACTCGCTGGGCTCGCCCTCAACCTCTTCTTTCTCATTAGGATTATGTGGGTGAGTAACACTAATGAAAAAATAACCTCGAAGTATTACCATTATACAACCATTCAAAGTTTACAACAACAGGCATGAAAATAAGTACAAAACACCCGAATTTTGAAAGGCTACTCAAAGAAAGACTGCACGGTTGTTGCGGTGACTGGGCAACCGGCTGCCGTGCAACGTGTCGCGGGTTCGATTCCCGCACGGGACAACACTTTGAGTGATCCACAAATTGTTGTTTCGGGTCTGAGTGTCGTTGTGTATGTGAAATTATATGTTTGTAAACGCACCCACGACACAGGAGAAAATCCTAGTGCAGGGCAACGTTTTTTTAAAAAAAAAATATTTTTTTTTTTTACTTGTACTTAAATATCCTAAGACTTTGAAGTCACAGAACTATATTAGCTAAAATCACAGGATACTCACGTGAACTGAAAAAAAGTTCTACTAGTTTCGTACCACAGAGGGATCTAGTTAGTTTAGTATGTCTCACGATAGTTATTATAAAAATAACAGAACTATACTTAAGCGAGACTAAAAATTAAATAAATAGCGTTTGAGTATTTGCGCATAAAACTTTTAGATTGTATGTATATAGATTAATTATAAAAAAATAACTACAAAAACATATTAGTTATTCGAACATTTTATCTCCTACTTGATTCTCAAATGTCATGTCTAATCGACCTTAAAGATTAAATATTTCAAACAAAATCATTTTTTCAATCGATCTCCTAGTTCCAGAGATTAGTGCGTTGAAGCAAACAAAACGTCGACAGCTTTATTATATTAGTACAGATTGAATTTGGATTTTACGAACCTAATCTCTAGATAAATTTTCCTACAAATCAAGTTCGGAATCAATTTTGTTCGTTTTAAAAATCCATAAGATTTATTCCAGTGGATTGGTTACGGGTTAAATTAATTTGTAGAATGACCCGGCACAAGTTAAACCTCCCTTGGGAAATTAGAATAGCTGAACGTAATTGAAATTAATTGACAATATCAATTTTCTTCCCGTGTCTCTTTTAGATTTAATAGTATTTTTCAAAAAATAAAGGAAAATAATTGATCTTTGTTTTTAAAAAGATATAATTCTTAATATGTATGACATCGTCTCTTAACTGATAGGTACGTTTTAGAAGAAATTTGAGATAGATTGAATACATTCCCATTGAATGTGGGTTGCTGGGGCTCCGGTTCGAAGTGCAGGAGTAGGAACGGGGTGGTATTTAGTCAGTAAGAGTCTGACACTCCCTCCCACCTCACCCGGGTGAGAAAAGTTATTGAATGATTTTCGCCCCCCAAAAAAAATAGGTTTTCCTAGGGTGTAAACATTGAAAGAATTGAAAGAAAAATATTCTAAGGAATGATTTTAAAATGAATCAGTTAAAATGTTAGGCTTGTTCGATCCATCTTTAGTCATTTTTTACTTTATTTCATGGTCACTAAAACTCAAATTCCATCAGGTATTAATCACAAAACTGCGGTCTGCAAACACGTTGGAGACGGAGCAGTATCGGAAAGCAACGAAGGCACTTCTAGTCCTGATCCCACTGCTGGGCATCACCAACCTACTGGTGCTGTGTGGGCCCAATGACGACTCCTGGTTCGCACACGCCTTCGACTATACGCGAGCACTCATGCTTTCAACACAGGTAAAATTAGTGCAAGTGAAAAAGAACCTTAATACTAATGTTTTTACAGATGTGTTTTGTTTGATAGGTTTTATGGTTAGCTTGTCGGTTCATATTTATAAAATAGTTTGTCGGAATTTAAAAATCGAAAATGAAAAATGTTCTTAATATAAACGTCATTATGGACGTGTTTTGTTTGACAAATGGGTGTTCTGGTTGGAGTGTTGGTTTTATTTATAAAATCGTGTATTGTGTCCGCATGGATAAGACGAAGCTACTTTTACAGTTGACTGTATTGACACCACAAAGCATGGCCACCTACGACCAATGAAATTTGCAATCGAAACTGTTTTGCACATACGAATTTAAGTTTGCATTTTAGGGTTAATGTAAGTATGAAAGCAATAAAATAATCTAAATAATAAGTATTGAAAGAATACCAGATTTTTATTAATTTCCTTTTTTTATGGCATAAGCCAGTAAATGAGCAGACGGATCACCTGATGGTAAGCAATCGGCGTCGCCCATGGACACGTGGAACACCAGAGCCGTTAAAAGTGCGTTACCAGCCTTTTGGGGATTAGGAGTTTGAGGATCGTTTCATGTAAAGTAAACTCTAATAGATACTAAAGCACTTAGAATGTATTTCCATTAATCAGTCTTATAGTTTATCACATTCTTAAATCAAATTCTAGATTCTACAATTAGCCAGTCATTCTCATAGCAACATATAACACCCCTCAACTGCCACAAACCCGTTGTAAATCGTCTTCTGAAACCACAAGATCACTTGAGGCTGCTTACGTTCTATGTTACTGTTTGTTCGGGAACTGTTTCCCTTTGACTTCGAAACACGAAGCCTCTTCTGAACAATCAGACGTTGGTCTGAAGTTGTGCCAAGTACAGGCTCGTAATGAAGTTTCAAACTTTACGCCTGCATGTTCCCGCTCAGTCACGCTCGCTTTTCAAACTGCGATGGATTAATGTACACCTACACATATCCAGTTTATCATGGTCTTACTTTCTATGATCTTTCCGCGCATTCGACGGTCAATTTATACTGGTTTGTGTAACTTGATGTGAAGATGTGTGTACTGTCCGCCATATTGGCGTTTTATTAAGTTTTTACTACAAAATTTATTAGTTGTTGCTAAGATAATGGCACAGTTTAATTGAAGTATTACCCATCGATAAGTTATCAACGTGTCGTGGTGGCCCGGAGGTTAAAGACGCCTGCTTCTCATGAACGAGGGTGCACAGGTACCAATGTGACTTTTCCGAGTTATATGTACTTTCTAAGATTATTTAGACACCTCTGACCAACTGTGAAGGAAAACATCGTGAGGAAATGTGGGCTTATAATTTCTAATTATAAGTTTGAAATCGCTAACCCTCATTGAGCAAGCGTGGTGATTAATGCTCTAACCTTCTCCGTGTGAGAAAAGGCTTTTATAGGCTGTTGATGAGTTATCAATTTTATAGAAATTTAACTAATGGCTCAGGCGTAGTGTAGTTCTTATTCCGAAAGATGTACAATGTTACAATAAAAACTACTAAAAGTAATAAAATAAGTAAAGTAGGGTGAAATTCTATACTTTTACTTTATGCCTTATATAGGTCTGACCTTTTACCAATAAAGATAAATTACCCTGTCTACACAATTTCATCTTTTTTCGATAAAACATTACATTCCATCATGTTATTTACATACACCGTTTTGATTAATCGTGTTCATCCAATAAACAAATTATGAGAACAAATAAAAACCGATTCACGTACGAAAACAAACATAATATCCAACAGTGTAGGAACATTAATGAAAACGATTCGATTCCGACTTCAAAGTATTTCAATTACGATTGTAATTGTTAATTTATTTTCAATAAAAACGTTATATCTGCAAATCGACCTTCATTTAAAATTATCTTTATATTGTTAAAGTAAATTAAATGATGGTGATTTAATATTTGAATGTAAAATATTCTTCTTTCAGGGTTTCTTGGTGGCTTTGTTCTACTGCTTCATGAATACAGAAGTACGGCACGCAATCAGATACCACGTCGAGAGGTGGAAGACTGGGAGGACCATCGGGGGAGGAAGGAGGAGAGGAGCTTCCTACTCCAAGGACTGGTCTCCTCGGTCACGAACAGAAAGCATACGGTAAGGAGATCCATTAAAACCAAAACCATTATCTCTGCATGTGGATAATAATGAACACGGCGAGGTCTCTTGCACGCAGTAACTCCGGCCACAAATAATAATACTAATTCTAAATCAGTATGGGATAATTAAACTTCCATCACAAAAGACACAAAGGGTTTTATTGGCCACCATTTCATTAATTGGACCACGAAACTTCATGGGCACTGAGTTTTGTATCAAATTGGGGTAAATATTCCAAACGACCCTTGATTCATGGATCGATTAATAAGCAGGTGAAGCGAGATACGATATAAGGTAATTGGAACCTTGGAACTAAGGATTAACCACAGAGGTTCAGTACATACATTATTCTATATTCGAAACGTTAATTTGTATTTTTAAACGACTCTTTTGTAGGTATAGACTATTGTTGTAGTTTTTATTATTTCAAAGTAAACACAACGTAATGTGACATAAAATAAATATTAGTCAGCAAAAGTATTAAACTGTCTCATTAATAAGTCAATATATAAATATTACAAAGTTATCATTGTAAGAATGAAATCAACGATTGATTCAGTAAAACTGCCTTTTTTGATGTCCATTATATCAAATGTACATAAAAATGACCAAATATCGATACTGTCTACGTTTTTCCGATACTTACAAAGTCAAATACAAAGAAATCGAAGTGGGTTGTTACCGTACCCTTGCAAGAATATGTAGTGTCATTGACGTCTGATAATAAAGCACTGACTTGCAGAATACGAGGTTTCGTTTCCAAAGCGAACAAAAGTCACGATTCAATACAACACAAGTACCAATTTAAAGAATTTATGTACGAATAAAATTTCCAAGAAACTTCACTCGAAGTAACATTGGAAGAAATAAGAATATAAAATCTTCGAATGCAGTGAAAACAATTTAGTATCTCCTTTGTTCTAATAGCCATTTGATAGACAAATTACTATTAAAGTTGAAATGTTTACGGTAGTCGTTTAAAGAACTTTCCATTGAAGGGAAAGGTTTTTTATTTGCTACAGTCATGTTACCTCGTTACATAACAAAGTACATGATATATTTTAATATCGATATAAAAATAAAATGGAAAGGCTACTTACTTAGTACATAATTAATATACAATTATGTGTTTGTAATTAGATAAAGTAAACTAAGACTAATTTTATGTGAGTATATATGTAGTCGTATTAAATAGTACCCTTTTCTAAAAGAAAATATGAAATCATAAAGTTGTGTTTACGAAGCGCTTAACTGCACGCTTGTCCCCGCATAAAAGTATATGATGCATCCCTTAACAGTTCCCAAATCCATATTTGATCAGATATTTTTATTTCCCAATAGACTCACGGTATGAAGAGGCCCAGGGATTCCAATCTGGATAGACCTACAACGAATTTGCTTACCGGAACGGACTTTATGCATTTAAGAGAAGATGTCCTAAGATATAATGTGGATTTGGATGGAATTTTTATTGTTTTATTTTTGTTACGTATATTTTATTAATTTTACAATAAACCAATGTTTAATCAGCTTTGTTTTTTATCCTCATTAATTTATTTTTCCCTTTCGTTTTAACTTTTATTTTGGTTTTACACAATATATCATTTAGCACTTCATCCATTAAATAGCGACTAGTTGATCATCGTAAACTATTTTGCATGTGATTAATTATTACGTTAAGGCTTGCTTGTAAACCGTCTAGTCATGGGACTACACCTAGTTCATTTCTCATAGGGAATATCTCACTATCCTCTAAACTAATTTTAGAAGGTGCTAATAGATTTTATTTCCCAAGATACCTTTCGTATTTACATTGATATCTTATCTAAAGGGAGTAGACTTCAAAAGAGCTCACTTAAAAGGGTGAATTTCCATACCTATTGGCAACAAAGTGCGAACGAACGGAAGGAAAGTGGAATAAATCTTGGTATCCCTTTTACGTTCTCAGATATCGTCGAGTACTATTGATGAGCCCATTTGAAAACTTAATAAGAGCATTTATTATTGTCGGTTCATTCACTCCATTTGAAGAAGGAGCCATAGAAAAAAGTTTCCAACTTAAGTACCTACTTTATTTTTATTTGATAGGTAATTCCAAAAAACACTTTTGAGTAATATGCTCAGTAAACAAGGATCAAAGCTATATTCTAGAATTGTTTTTACTGTCAGACAGAATCTGACTTATGGAATTATATTGTATTCCAGTGCTGTATAGTTTCAAAACAACTGTAAGTTGTGTAACAAAACAAACAGCAGGTATGTCGTCTACTTATGTAGGTATAAAGGTTTGAAAAATGGAAACCAAACTACGTAAATATTCGATTACATTTTTGAGAATAAATTATTACTGAAATCTATTCATTCATTATCAATTCCATTTGTTTTTATATTGTTTTGCACATTGCAAACTTTTTTATATAGCATTTAAATTAATGTTGTTGATGTTGATGTTATTAATGTTAACTCAATAAAAAATAATGTTAACTTCCAATTCAAATTGTGTAAAGTAGGTATACAAGTTTAAACTATCGTTGTGGTACTTATAATTAATTAATTAATTCATGTTACTTATTTTAACAATATGGTACTTACATAAATTACTAAAGCGCATGAAATGCTTTCGCCTTTTAATATAAATTTAATAACTAAAGATTAAATATATTGTGAATGATTGGAAATTAAATGTAGATTTTTTATTTTGATGTGTATGTTGTACTCGTAAAAGAACAGAAAAGAAAAAGCTTTACATAAAAGCGAAGCTGTCACATGTGAGGCCTGTCACTATCACTACTTTTTGGGCGCTTAATACTTTTATTGTAACCACAGATATACTTTTTTAATATTTCTGTGATTGTAACAGATAAAATATGTCAAATGTCCCGAAATCTGTGAATAGATAGCTTCCAGACGTTGTTCCATTTTCAAACGAAACGATTTCAAACCTTACTTCTCTTTTCTTTTCGGTACACCAAATAGTTCTCATTTTCCTATTTTAAATTAAATTTTTTGTCTGTATTTTAATAATTGTTTTTGTATCTTTTTTGTTTTTCCTGTTTGTCTCCTGGAATGTTTTGTGTTAAACTGTCGTTAGAGTTATTTAAATATTAGCGTATATGCACAGAGAGTGTTTGAATACGGATGTTAACAAGAAGACTGTGGGGCAGGTTGTACAGCCACCCATCTAAACGGGAGTCGGCAGCGTCGGAGACAACCACCACGACATTGCTGGTACCACGAACATCACTGTTGCCTCCTCTCGATGGCAGGCACCTGCACACCGTGAGTACCATACCGTTGAGCCCTTAATAAACCAATATGTTTTGGATCTATCACTTTAAAATTACCTTTTGTATGTAATGATAACACTTCCTGTTATGTAATATCAATCCTCAGTGTCTGTTGTGTCATCAGTCCTAGCCAGTTGATTCTACTTAATGATAAATATGCTGATGAAACTGTAGTGGCTACGTAAAATAATTATAGCTAGCAATAAACTTGAAAGTAGCAATGAACTGCGCAGGATTACATCACGAGCGGGAGCGCAAGCGGCGATCAGTCTCCAGTGTGAGGCGGGGGGCGGGGGAGGCTGCCGCGCCTGCGCACCCTACCCGAGGAAGACGGAGTCCCTGGCCCGTCCGTCCCCGCCTCTCCCGCCTCTCCTGCGTCTTCGTCACCGCTCAGCCCCGACATCAAACAAAACCACGCTACTACGTCAACCATCTCAATACTTCCGAACCATAACGGGTATCACAAAACTGACATTCATAGTCCACACACTCCCAACTCTTTCAGCAACGGCCCTTTCTCCCTCTCTAATAGACTAGACACCGTCTCTAATGCCACCACACCAAACTCGACCAACTCGAGCCCGAACACAAAACATTTTGAATATTAACTGCACGCATTTAACGTTCCTGTGACCATTGTAATATACTATAGCAACAATATTTATTATGTGATGCATGGATTAGTGATAGCGTATGAAATACATTTTTATATTATAAAAAATAATAAAATTATTACTTAAAATTAACATAATTCGGATATAATTCCTCAACTTAACATTAAATATATTTTAAATTAATATAATTAGGAAAGTTCACTATGAAACGCTGAGTTTTCTTTAGAATATTAGAAATTAATATTTGTGTATAATATTAATATATGTAACTATGCGATTTTATAACAAGTCAAGAATAAAAACTTTTTGTACGTATGTCACAGATAATTTAAGCCAGTATATTAAAGTGTTGCCAAAGCTACGACGGCTTATATAGAATTATTGTTAAAGAACTAATTATTACATTATAGCATTTAAGTATATAGTATTAAGGAAGAAATTGGGAAACAATGCGCTATTTGTATCATAAATTTTATAGCATATCGTAAATTTTACATACAAAGACGTTATTTTCTATGTAATTACTATTCATAATGTGTCATCTATGTGAAAATTATGAGTGTAAAACTACTACCAATTTATAATTAATACTTTAGATGAATAAGATTGAGAATTAAATAAAGCTAGCTATGTATGTATTGTGTATTAGAGAAACTCCGTATGAGTAATCGATGAACAACTTAATATATGTAAATGTATCTTAAAATGAACATGTAAATTCAAAAATGATTTAATGTTTGTACATTTATCTGTAATAAAATTTGTGATCGTCAGTGTTCGTGTTTATTTATACGCACCCATAAATCGCAGAGCTTTTCAAATTAAATTCTGTTATATTTATTTACTTCGTTTAATCATGCAAAATTTAATATTATAACCCTCATTTTCTAGCTAGATGAAAAATAAAATGATAATGACAGATATAACCTTTATTGAAAGAGGGTAAATGAATGAATAAATTCTATATAACTATAGCTAGCCGTCAATAATGTCAATCTGTCTGAAAATACATGGAAAATACACATCTGAGTACCTACTAGAGTTTAATATTAAAAGAAATGAAAAAATAGTAAAAATATTATAAAATTTACGCTTTAGCATTAACTTGAAAGATAACATAACATAACATCACGCATTTTATCCACGAAGAGGTAGGCAGAGGTGTACATTACAGAACTTAATGTCAGTGTACAATGTAGAGAACACCTACTTTTCACTATTTATGCTATGAGTACCATGTAATAGGGGTCACCCCCTCACCTCGCCTATTGCCATATTCCGAGCACAATCCAGACTCCGTGCTACTACTGAGAATTTTTAAAATAAACTTTGAAGATGGTGAAATAATTTTAAATTTATTTTTATATTAAAACACATTCGAACAAGTTTGTTGAAATAACAAAAATAAATGCAGAAAGAGTTCCACGTGGAAGATTAAAGATTTATTCTGAGCGCCGACAGAAGACTGCGTCCAACACTTCTATTCAAGGATTAGGAGAAGGAGCGTAGGAGTTGGAAGTTTCTAATGAACTTCAACAAAAGAAGGAGGTTCTTATTTCGACTTGTGTGTATGTATGTATGTTTGTGTGCGATTATGAAAGAAAGAAAGAAAAACCATTTATTACGCCACGACACACAATAAGAACATGGTGCGTCGCAGCGCAAAAGGCTGGAGCTCAGCTTAATATCATCATCTGATATTTTGACGGTACATTTGGAGGAATTAGCACAAAATGATAAACCCATTGACATTATCTGTATAACCGAACACTTTATGACCACCGATCAGGAAAACACACTTGACATACCAAATTTTCGCCTAGCAGCAAGTTATTCTAGAGACGTCAAAAGGGGAGGGGCATGTATACTTACTAGAATTGGACAGGAATACATATCACTTGACACTAATCATTGTTCGATTAAAGGCATCGTAGAATGTAGCGCCATAGAACTAATTGATCATGAACTCATAATAGTCTGTATATACAGAGTACCAAATTCATGTATAAATATATTTTACGATAATTTAGAGAAACTATTACGCCAGATATGTGACAATTCTAACAAGAAAATTGTTCTTTGCGGAGACTTTAACATAAATATACTCAAACGAAACCGCCTCGCTCTAGACTTTGAATATCTTCTGGAAAGTCACAATTTAAAACTAGAAATAAGAAATCCCACGAGGCTCAGCAGTATGTCTTGTATTGACAATTTTGCACACAACGTTCGTAGATGCAAAAGTGAAATAATTGAGTTTGGCATGTCCGATCACACTGCTCAACTATTACAATGCCCCGTCAAAAAAACCTGCGTGATAAAATCGTGGCGTATTAGAAGACGGGACTATAGTACTGAAAACATAATCAAATTTAAAAAATGCATAAATAGCCTGTCATTTAGTGAAATCTACAATACAAATGATGCGAACGAAGCCTATAATTATTTTATAGACCTTTTATTATGTTTCTATAACCTATGTTTTCCTTACAAAATGATTACAAAATCGATAACTAAAAAATCAAAATGGTTATCAAAGGGACTTAAAAGTTGTAGTAGAATGAAAAGGAAAATGCTATGGCAGTATAGAGTACATCCAACACAAATAAATAAAAATAGATTTAAGCAATACGCAGCTAGATTTAAGAAAGTAATATCTCTAACACAGAAATCACAGAACAATTACTACATAAATACATCACAAAACAAAGCGAAAGCGACATGGTCAATTATAAACAAGTCCAAACATAACTTCCCCAAAGAGCCTATTACAGAAATACTTAAAGATGACATAAAAATTACAGACCCTAAATCTATTGCGAATAATTTTAACGATTTCTTCATTAACCAAGCTTCAGAACCAGATCAAACAAATAACAGAAGAAATGATGGACAAAACAAAACCCAACCCTGCAATCATAAAATTTACACTAAAACCAATTCAATTTATCTTACTCCCACAACACCTATAGAAGTAAACAGAGAAATAATGCAACTGAAAAATACCCATAGCGTCGGCCACGATGGTGTCTGTACCAAAGTCATAAAATATATATCCACAAATATTTCTGCTCATTTATGTTATATAATTAACCTATGCATTTCTAACGGAATGTACCCAGAAAAACTTAAAACGTCTATTGTCATTCCACTACACAAAAAAGAAGATAGACGGAAAATGGGAAATTATAGGCCCATAGCGTTAATCCCCATTTTCTCAAAAATATTTGAAAAAATTATATATAGTCGCCTCTATAGTTATTTAGAAAAATTTAATATTCTGGTAGACGAACAGAAAGGCTTTCGTAAAGGGAAATCAATAAATATGGCCCTTTATGATCTATTGAAAACAATTTTGTTAGCCATGGACAAAAAAATACCAACATGTGCCATCTTTATGGACATGAGTAAAGCATTTGACCGAGTCGATCACAACATACTTTTACAAAAATTAAGCAAGTATGGCATAAGAGGCAAAGCGTTAGACCTCATTTTTTCATATCTGCACAATAGAAAACAAATAGTAGAAATAACACAAATATGTCAGAAAACACGAACCGAGATTAAGCATAAATCGAACACAAAAACTATAAAATTTGGAGTCCCACAAGGAAGTGTTCTCGGGCCTCTACTGTTTCTAATATATATCAATGATCTGCCTAACCATATAAATCAACCAATGGTCTTGTTTGCAGATGATAGTACGGTCATAATAAGGGGTGAAAAAGAGACTGATTATGAACATGTAGTTAACCAAACATTAAATACGATTATACAATGGTTAAACGATAATAATCTAAAAATAAATATGGAAAAAACTAAAATCATTCACTTTCACCAAAAAAATAAACCATTAAATATAAACGTTGGTTACCAAGGTAACACTGTACATCCCGTGACAGATGCAAAGTTTCTGGGAATAACAATAGACGATAAACTGTCATGGAAACCACATATAGAAAATATATGCAAAAGAATTAATAAATCCTCATTTGCTCTATACAAACTGACAAAAATTGTCAATAAAGAAGCTGTATTAGCTGCATATCATGGACTTGTTGCACCTATCTTAGATTTGGTATTATATCTTGGGGTAACTCAGTGGATAAGGAATATATATTTAAATCCCAAAAGAAATGCATTAGAGCTATGTGTAATGTAGACAGTACTACTAGTTGTCAACCCTATTTTAAATCATTAAAAATCCTGACATTTCCCTCGTTATACATTTATGAACTTAATATTTTTGTGAAATCAAATCCTAATTACTTTGAGACTGCTTTTAAAAGCTATTATAGACAATTGCGAGATAAAAAAAGACTAGAAGTTGTTATACCTTATGGGAAAACAGCACTCATTAATAAAAGTATTCTTTGCATGGCATCTTTAATTTATAACAAACTGCCCGATTCTGTCAAAACTTTGCCTCTTCACCAATTCAAGCGGAAGCTACACAAACTCCTAATAACTAAATGTTATTATAGTGTCAAGGAGTACCTACAGGATAAAGATATAGATAGTTTATTTTGCCAACAAGTAGTGTGACATACAGTAGTGAATTTTATGTACCAAATTTTATGTTATTATTAATTTATATGATTTTTATGTTATTATTAATCTACCATTGTTATATGACTTAATTTATTGACCATGACATGAACAATTAT